TCAATTCCAAGTTGCATTTAACTGCCAGAGTCAACAATTCAATTGGTTCTCAATTTTAGCTGATGTTTTAGCCATTTTCAGTAGCTAAAGTGGTGCAATGGGTTAAACCCTTGTGCCAGCTGAACTGCTGACCTGAAGACCTGAAGTTTGGTGGTTCGAATCCGCGAGATGGGGTGGGCTCCTGTCTGTCAGCCCAAACTTCCCATGCGGGGACATGAGAGAAGCCTCCCACAGGATAGTAACACCTTCAGGCGTCCCCTGGGCAATGTCCTTGCAGATGGCCAGTTCTCTCACACCAGAAGAGACTTGCAGTATATTCTCAATTCACTCCTGACATGATATTTTTAAAGCCATTTTCAAAGGCTTGCTTGAAAAGCTAAGCTTTCAAGTCCTTCTGGAAACATTGGTGTGTAGGGACTAGCCTTATTTCCCTGGGGAGGGAGTTCCAAAGCTGAGGGGCCACCACCAAAAAGTCCCTCTCCCTCGTTCCCACCAATCACACTTGAGACAGAGGCGGGACAGAGAGGAGGTCCTCCCTGGCAGATCTTAGAGCCTGCACAGGTTCATAGGAGGGATGTGGTCACAAAGATCGGCTGGACTTGAAGATGGCCAAATAAAGTTCCTAATCAATACAAAAGTAACTACCTATGGCTCCTGCCTGCACTTTTTGGGGGGTACAAATTGGTGGGGCAGCTGAAGAGTGATTTTCATGTGGCCCGACAGCATGTTATGCTACTATATGTAAAAGAGAGCCACATGGATATCTCAAACAGCATTATTCATCATAAACCAGAATTCCTTTGTTTTGTTTTCAGCTTGCAGGAGGGGAAAAGAGAGAAAAGAAAGATATTTAGTGCACTTATTTCCAATTGGTGCAAAAGGTTGCATCTTGACCTGAAGAAGAGTCTTGCAGAAAGCATGGCTACCATGTTTTTTAAAAAATATATATAAAAAAATAAAAGACATATAAAGAGAAAGAAGGAGAACACTAGATGAAAGAGAGAAGGAGAGCCAGGCGTGTATAGTGAAAATATAAAATTAGACCCCATGGTATAGGAAAAGATAATTTTAAGGTATTTTAGGGCTGAAGACAACATCTTTAGATTTTGAAGATTTCACTTCTTCTTTGTTCCACGCCTTAATCACTGCCAGCCGTGGTTGAAATTAAAGATGGGCCCTGGTTGAAAAAGTTGGAAAAACTAATAGTGGGTTTGGGATGCCATTAGTGGTGAGAATTTGGCCCTGCAAATGTTTTGAACTTCAACACACAGACGTAATAGCTAGTAGCGTCAATGGTAAGAATTGCAAGAGCTGTCATCCAAAATATCTAGAGATCCAAAACCTGTCCACACATGGGTGGCATAGTAGATCTAGCCCTTGAAATACAAAAGGAGAAGTTCTCAATGTTTTGTATCTCTTATTTCTTATTGGAAACTAATGAGAAGCATGTTTTGATATTCCATTCTAGTAACAAAATATTTTCAGCTCATCCTATCTGTTAAGAGCTGAGGTGGCACAATGAGTTAAACCCTTGTGCTGGCTGAGCTGCTGACCTAAAGGTCGGTGGTTCGTATCTGCAAAACGGGGTGAGCTCCCATCTGTCAGCTCCAGCTTCCCATGCAGGGACATGAGAGAAGCCTTCCACAGGATGGTCACACATCCGGGCATCCCCTGGGCAACATTCTTGCAGACAGCCAATTCTCTCACACCAAAAGCAACTTGCAGTTTCTCAAGTCGCTTCTGACACCAAAAAATATATAATCCTATCTGTTCTTATAATACTGTATAGTCTTTCCCAAACTGGCACTTTCCAGCAATGGTTTTGCCTGCAGCACCCATGCTTTGGGTCAGTTGGAAGTTGCAACCTGCAGGAAAGCATCAAGTTGGGTGCGGGGGACTGATCTACTGGATTACAGTAATTGTGGGATGAGCATGCAAATATTGGAGCATAATAATAATAACACTTTATTTATACCCTGCCACCATCTCCCCAAGGGGACTCGGGGCAGCTTACATGAGGCCAAGCCCAGCAATACAACAATAAAATATAAGAAAATAAAATAAAATACAAGAAACAGTATAAATAAATACATCAGAACAATATAAAATCACAAATTTCAACACAGAAAGTTGATCACAGTGGGCAGGGCCGGTTGCAAATATTAAAAGTTTAAAAACACTGGGTGAGAGAGCAATGTAATGTATCTGGACATGGGATCCGAGGGATGAAGTAGGGTTTAATTGCACTAACAGGGAAAATAAAATGCTTCCGAAGGCATTTTATGCAGGGTTTGGTCAGGGATTATTGTTCATTCATTCATTGTAGGCACACTGGAACAGCCAAGTTTTCAAGCTCTTCCTGAAGACTTCCAGGGTGGGGGGCTTGCTTAATTTCTCTGGGGTTCTAGAGCTGAGGGGACACCACAGAGAAGGCCCTCTCCCTCGTCCCCACAAGTTGCACTTGCGAAGGGGGCGGGAGCAAGAGAAGGGTCTCTCCAGAAGATGGAAGAGATTGTGTAGGTTCGTAAAAGTAAATGCTGTCATGGAGGTAGGCAGGTCCCAAACCATTCAGGGCTTTGTAGGTAAGAACCTGCACCTTGAATTGGGAACGGAAAATAAATGGCAGCCAACGGGACTCCTTAAACAGGGGGGTTGATCGCTCCCTGTAATTCGCACCAGTTTGTAGTCTGGATTCCCACTTAAAGACACAATTCACCCTGATTATGTAGGGTTATAGACTGTTATTTGCCCTTTCTGCATGATTTATGTGGTACAGTTCTTATATGGCAATCATAATAACAAAATTTAACAACAGAAGTGCTAATAGGGCATCAGTTGGCCTAAACTTGCTCTGTTGGACTTTAAGAACTAATGAGCAAGATCAGTGGGTAGATCTTCTTCTAGAAGTGGAAAACTGGACTGTCTTTCAGAGCTGCCTGGTTCTGATATTATCCTTGTCTCTACAGGGCTTTTTCCGACGGACCATCCAGAAGAACCTGCACCCAACATACTCCTGCAAGTATGATGGCTCCTGCGTCATCGACAAGATCACCCGCAACCAGTGCCAGCTTTGCCGATTCAAGAAGTGCATTGCTGTTGGCATGGCCATGGACTGTAAGGGCATTGAGCCCACTATGGAGGGGTGGTGGGTCTGGGAGGATGGGAGAGGGAGTGATTATGGCTCTTTTTATCAAGAACAACATGGAAAGCAGTAATCTAAAAATGGTCCTGTTTTGAGTGACAAGGGATGGGGGGGGGTACATTGCTTGGTGCATACAGTTATGTATGTTTATATCTTTCAATCTCCATGCATTCAACGCTTGATAGTGCTTAACTGTTCCAAGGCTTATAGAAACATCCAACAATTCTATTCGCTGTCATAAGGGCCACTCATATTGCTTTCCACGAGGCCACTTGGCACATTGATAATGGCGAAATGGGTTGCAAGATGCAACTGATACATTACAGAGTTGTCATTGACCTCACCTTCTCACACACCTTTCCATTCTTCGCCACTCCCTAGTGGTGCTGGACGACTCCAAGAGGGTAGCCAAGCGGAAGCTGATTGAAGAGAACCGGGAGAGGCGGCGCAAAGAAGAGATGATGAAATCCCTTCAGCATCGGCCAGAGCCAACCGCGGAGGAGTGGGAGCTGATCCACGTTGCCACAGAGGCACACCGCAGTACCAATGCCCAAGGCAGCCACTGGAAACAGAAGCGGAAATTCCTGGTAAACGATGTTGTTAATAATAATAATAACAATAATAAATATTTATTTGTAGCCCGCTTTTCTCCCTAAGGGGGAACCAAAGCAGCTCACAACATTTAAAAAAAAATACAGACCAACCATACATAAAAAATAAACCGACTTTACAGTAAAACATGAATAAATAAACATTTTAAAATCAATTAACAGATACCAGATAACATTGTTGTGGGAACTTTCCTCCAAAGGCCTTTTCCCCTCTTTGGAATGAAGTGATGGAAGTCCTAATGCATTTCTATCTACAGAGGAAGGAGTCTGACCTTTTCCTCTGCAGAGAGAAGCAACAGAAGTCCTCCTGCATCTCTGTCCGCTGAGAAAGGAGTCTATTTTCTTTCCTGGTGGACAGAAACACAGTCTGGTGTCCGTCACTTTCTCTCTGTGCTTCTGTCCATTGAGAAAGGGGTCCAACCTCTTCCTCTGCAGAGAGAAATGAGAATATGAACTTGGCCAAGGATGGAGCCAGGTTTTAGCTGCTTCTCCAAAGAGGGAAAAGTCGGACTTCCCTCTTAGACGTTTTCCTCTTTGGACAATAACAATTTTCCAATATGGGGCCAGCGCAACAGGTGTCATTAGAAATAAATAAATACAAGATCCTGGATTTGAGGCCATTCTAAAAGTGGGGAATAAGGAAACAATTCCCAGCAAAATGTCCTCAAATACACTTTAACTATCCGCTTGGATTGCACTCCCCTCACTTCTTTAAAACCTTCCTATTAGAGATACCCTACCTTGTTCATACCCAGCATTTTATTTTTTTAACTTTTAACTACTACATCTGGCCCGGCCATAGGTTTTTAAATCCTTGCATGTTAATGTTTATATGTGATTTATTTATCTGTATTGTTGTTATTGTTTATTGCTTTCTTGTTATTGATGTGTTGTTGGGCTTGGCCTCATGTAAGCCGCTCCGAGTCCCTTGGGGGGATGGAGGCGGGGTATAAATAAAGTTTTATTATTATTATTATTTAATATAGTCTCACTGTTCAGGTAGAGTTCTACTGCCATTGTGTTCTCAGGGTTCTTCTAGCAGGCTCTGCAACATTCATTTTTAAAGAAAACATCACATTCCATACAATCTTCAGGGTTAGAGGTCCACCCCCAAAAAAGCTATCCCTGTGCCTGCATAAAGGTATTAATTTCCTGCATACCAAAATGGAAACATTTTGTGAGGGGGAGGAAATATGGCTTATTTCAGAGCTCTCCAACTTCTGATTTCCAAAGTCCATTCAGTTTCGGAAGCTTAGAGCTCTCTGTCCCATTATAGAAAAGGAGTTTCTATTGACAAAGTTGGTATCATCTTACAAAAATTGTCTTCAAATGGGATATGCTAATAAATGTATTTCCCAAAATAATCCCTCTAGAGACAGATTTACTTCTGTCTTTCCAGAATTATGGTAAGTTAGTAAGGCAACAAAACTTACCCACTATGGCTCCAAGTTAGCTAATGATGACTGGATTCTATTGGAAGCAATGGGGCTTATATTCCTTGCAGCTTTATTTATTTATCATGTCAGAAGCAAATTGAGTGTGCAGTCATAATGTATTTAAACGAACACGAAGTTAAAAAGTTGGCATTATACGAGATTTCCTTTGACCAAAAGCTGGCCACTTGGAGCGCCTCAGGTGTCGCTGTGAGAAGGTCCTCCATTGTGCATGTGGCAGGGCTCAGGCTGCATTGTAATAGGTGATCTGTGGTTTGCTAGTGGACTCCACTTTGTCGCCCCATTTCTTAAGATTAGCTCTGCATCTTGTGACAGCTGTCTCCTGACAGCGAACTTTGATGGAATGTAAACACTTCGTTCATAAAAATAGCAGGTAGGATGGCAAAACCTGTTTCTAAGCTGAACACCTAGAGACTGTTGTGTCCCAGTATGGTAGTCCTGCATATGGACTACCATAATGGGACAATATTCTGACCTAGGTTTTTCTCTGTGTTTATTCCACACATCTGTCTGTCTGTCTGTCTTTCTGTCTGTATGTCTGTTAGTCTATCTATCTATCTATCTATCTATCTATCATCTATCACCTATCTCACTTTTTTGTTAACGGCATAGAAGTACAGCTAATGAGTCACCTTTTTTGTAATGGGGTGCATTGTAGTTTCTCAGAGTAATCTAGAAAGTGGGAATTAATTATTCTGATAATGTTTTGTTTACTTTCAAAAGTTAATTTGAAAAGGTATTTTCACTGGAAAATTTAGTTATGTTATAGATCAGGCATGGGCAAACTTTGGCCCACCAGGTGTTTTGGACTTCAACTCCTACAATTTCTAACAACCTCTTAAGCGGCTGAAGGGGGAAAGGAAGGGGCCTGAGTCTGTTAGGAATTGTGGGAGTTGACGTCCAAAATACCTGGAGGGCCAAAGTTTGCCCATGCCTTTTATAAATAGATATATTTCTCTTCCCAGACCTAGTTTTGTTTTGCTTTAATACAGTGTTTCTCAACCTGGGGGTCGGAACCCCTTTGTGGGTTGTGAGGAGGGTATCATAGAGGTCACCAAAGGCCATCAGAAAACACAGTATTTTCTGTTGGTCATGGGGGTTCTGTGTGGGAAGTTTGACCCAATTCTATCATTGGTGGGATTCAGAATGCTTTTTGATTGTAGGTGAACTATAAATCCCAACTGCAACTCCCAAATGTCAAGGTCTATTTTCCCCAAACTCCACCGGTGTTCACATTTGGGCATATTGAGTATTCATGCCAAGTTTGGTCCAGATCCATCATTGTTTGAGTCCACAGCTCTCTCTGGATGTAGGTGAACTACAATTCCCAGACTCAAAACCTAATGCCCACCAAACCCTTTTAGTATTTTCTGTTGGTCATGGGATTTCTGTGTTCCAAGTTTGGTTCAATTCCATCATTGGTGGAGTTCAAAATGCACTTTGATTGTAGGTGAACTATATATAAATCCCAGCAACTACAACTCCCAAATGACTAAATCAAATCCCCACCAACCCCACCAGTATTCAGATTTGAGTTTATCGGGTATTTGTGCCAAATTTGGTCCAGTGAATGATAATACGTCCTGTATATCATATATTTACATTACGATTTGTAACAGTAGCAAAATTACAGTTATGAAGTAGCAACAAAAATAATTTTATTGTTGGGGATCACCACAACATGAGGAACTATATTAAGGCAGCATTAGGAAGTTTGAGAACCACTGCTTTAATTTAAAAAAAAAAGCAGTGAGCCACAAGTAACGCACACAAATTACTTTTTTCCATGTTGTAATGAGTATTGGCAACCAACCACTTTTCAGAAACTATAATGACAACAAAATGGATGATTTCTGAAAAGCAAAAGAAACCCAATGCAATCAGTTGTACCATTTCCCGCTTGTAGAACAAACTGGTACAGGTTTTTGTTATCATTTGCCTTTTTTTATTTGAACTTGGCTTTAGTCACAATGGAATTTAGCCAAACTGGAAAGAGAGAGAATAGTTTTTTTTCTTTCCCTTTTTACCATATCTTGATTAGAATGGCATTTTGGAGGTCAGGTGTCAACTGCAGGCTCCCATTATTTTTGTTATTATGAGGATTTAAAGATCGAACTGCAAAGACTCTGGCGCAAGCCAGTCAAGGTGGTCCCAGTGGTGATCGGCACACTGGGTGCAGTGCCTAAAGACCTTGGTCTGCACTTAAACACAATCGTCGCTGACAAAATTACTATCTGCCAGCTGCAAAAGGCCACCTTACTGGGATCTGCACACATTATTTGCCAATACATCACACAGTCCTAGACACTTGGGAAGTGCCCGATGTGTGATCCAATACAACAGCCAGCAGAGTGATGTTGTTTGCTGTGGACTCACCTTGTTGTGTTTCAAATAATAATAATAATAATAATAATAATAATAATAATACTTACTTACTTACTTAGGCAATCCCTCGTTTTCCGAGGACAATTGTCTTCCAGTATTCTTGTGGGTCCGTATGTGGCTGTGGAGCCCTATTCTTGCTCTGCATCTTCTTCCGCAGTGAGGGCATTGGTTTCCAGGTGGAAAGCGGTCTCGGTCGGGGTTGGCTTGACGCGCCTTCCTCTTGGCACGCTTCTCCCTTTCGCCCTCCATTCGCCAATAATAATAATAATAATAATAATGGAAAACAACAGGAAAAACTCAGCTGTTATCAAGACCTCAAAATTGTACTGCAAAGGCTCTGTCATAAACCAGTACAGGTGGTCCCAGTGGTAATTGGCACACTAGGTGCTGTGCCAAAATATCTCAGCTGGCATTTGAAAACAATAAACATTGACAAAATCACGATCTGTCAACTGCAAAAGGCCACCTTACTTGGATCAGTGTGCATCATTTGTAAATATATCACAAGTCTTAGACACTTGGGAAACGAAATCCAGCATATATATCTCGTTTGCTGTGTCATACTGTGTTTTTGTGTCAGTAAAATAATAATAATAATTTTAAACACGATATATCTTATCATAGTCTAGACATACAATACGAGGCAGACTCTGGGCAATACTTTATTCCCTTTTCATTCCATTTCAGTGATATAAGCATTTTCCTGACCCGAGGCAGACTCTGGGCAATGCTTTATTCCCTTTTCATTCAGTTTGAGAGATATAAGCATTTTCTTGACCTACTCAAATAAATCAATTGTATTTAAGGGTGTTTACTGTCAGATGTGCTGAGAAACTGCTATAGACATTAGCATGATTTTTTTTAATCTGAGAAAAATGTAGCTCGTCCTAAGTATTAACAGTGGTGATAAACTCAGGAGTCTGCATGTATAGGAATAAATCCAAGAGCCCATAATGGTAATTAAATTAAGATTCCCCCCCCCCCCCCAATCCTCCAGCAGCTTTGCAAATGACTCTGGATCCTGCAGAGAGGACTTTGAAGGGTTAAGTGGATTGAGCCGAGGGACACAGCTGTGACCTCTCAGCTCTGTCCAAGGGCAGATGGGCCGGAAAACCCCAACCGGACTTTTTCTCTTCCCCGTTTTCCGCTGGGCAAGAATCGCTAGTTTGGAGTGCCCTCTGCTGGCCCTCGAGAGTCAATGCCAGGGCAGGTCAGGACATGGAGGTCACAGGAAGTGGGGCCTGGAGGAGGGGAGAGGAAATTGTGGATCATGGAGAAGCCTTTAGCCCTTGTGAATCACCCCCCCCCCCAATATACACACACGCATACACACACTTTGCACCAGCATTTCAAAATGCCTAACAGTTGCACACAAACTAAGCAAAATACTTGTTAAAATTTAAGGTGCAGAGAGAGTGGAGAAAGGCATGAAAGCATCATGATACGGTTACAATGCTGAAGTTGTGTGGGTCCTGTTCTTTGAGCTGTTTGGATGGATGCCCAAAGTGAAGAACAGACTGAATTCAGTGGCAAAGGAGCAGGAGATAAGCGTAGTAAATAAAATGTGACACACTATTCCAGCAAAGACAACGTGCAGGCAAAAGTAATGCATGCAATAACACATACATTTTCCGAACTGCCCATGAGAGAAGATGAGTGAGCTGTAAGGTCTCGCATGCTTTTCCCACACCCTCTCCTTAAAGCTTTCCAAAAACAACAACAACAACAATTTATTTCTTACTCGGCTCTCTTTGTGGCTCGAGCTGCATAATCGTCTTAAACATGCTATGAAATACACATATTAAAACATATTTCTATAAAATGCATAATAAAATACACAGAACAAAGATTAAAACACAAGACACAAGTTTAAAATTCGTGATTAAAATGGACTGGGTAGACCTGCCAGAAGAGATAGATAGATCTTCAGATGGGTTTTAAATTCTGACAGCTCATTTAGCTGTCAGTTGTTTTCTAGCAGGTCATTCCATGGCCGGACCATCACATAGATTTTTATTACATTTAAACAATACAGTGGCACAGATATTAACTGTTGTTGTTGTTGTTGTTGTTATTATTTAAAACATAACAAGATTAGTACACAGCAAACAAGATCACTATGCTGGCTGTTTAATTGGATCACATGTCGGACACTTCCCAATTGTCTAGGACTGTGTGATGTCTCGGCGAATAATGTGTGCAGATCACAGTAGGTGGCCTTTTGCAGATGACAGATGGTCATTTTGTCAGTGCCGATTGTGTTTAAGTGCAGGTCAAGGTCTTTAGGCACTGTACCCAGTGTGCTGATATTTAATACATGGACAAAGGGCATAATTTGCTTCAATAGGTTGTGTCTAATACAGTGTTTCTCAACCTTCCGAATGCCACGACCCCTTAATACAGTTCCTCATGTTGTGGTGACCCCCAACCATACTACTACTTCATAACTGTACTGTTGCCACTATTATGGATCATAATGTAAATATCTGATGTATTCTCATTCAGTGGACCAGATTTGCCACAAATATCAGATACATCCAAATCTGAATACTGGTGGGGTTGGGGGAGGATTTATTTTGTCATTTGGGAGTTGTAGTTGCTGGGATTTATAGTTCACCTACAATCAAAGAGCATTCTGAACTCCACCAATGATGGAATTGAACCAAACTTGGCACACAGGACTCCCACGACCAACAGAAAATACTGGAAGGGTTTGGTGAGCATTGAACTTGAGTTTTGGAGTTCTAGTTCACCTACACCCAGAGAGCACTGTGGACTCAAACAATGATGGAGCTGGACCAAACTTGGCACGAATTCTCAATATGCCGAAGTGTGAACACTGGTGGATTTTGGGGAAAATAGACTTGACATTTGGGAGTTGTAATTGCTGGGATTTACAGTTCACCTACAATCAATGCGCATTCTGAACCCCACCAATGACAGAATTGGGCCAAACTTCCCATACAGAACCCCCATGACCAACAGAAAATACTGATGGTCATTGGCAACCCCTCTGATCGTGGTCCTGACCCCCAGGTTGAGAAATGCTGGTCTAATAGGACAGACATGAATGGTACCCTTACGATTCTGTACACACAGATAATTACAAAACAAGTGTTAGATGGTGATAGAAAAGGCGGCATTTGGGTCCTTAGCAGCTCCCAAATCCCCAGAGCAAATTTAAATATGGTTTCATTTTTTGTGTGAAAGATAGCAGGCGAAAATCATATAAAGATATACATAATGTTTTTAAATTCTGTTTATAAAGGAAGCCAGTCTACTTCATTTAGAGGGGAGCAGTTGCAAGACTAATAATCACACCAGCGTTTGCACAAATTGCAAAGCTACGAAGAGAAAGTCAGGCTTCTGCTCTGGTTTCGAGAACATGCTGTGACTTTTCTCTGTTGACATTATGCCTGTCTTCATCCTTGACTTAATGAATCCGAGTCATCGAGCTATTTTATATCCTAGACCTCCGTTCCCCCCTCCTATTATTTAACATTAAACTCTGAATTCTCCAAGTATTGTGCATTTTAAATTGGGATGGACACAGTACAGCTGCCCCAAGGCCGTTTCTGCTCTCTTCAGGCCCTCTAGACTCACAATGCATTTCCTGTCCAATAAAAAAGTTGAATTGCTTCTCCTGGAAGCTCCAGAAGTGACTATTCATCTTTTAAATACGTTGCAGGGCCATCTCCTGCTCTATTTAATGTTTAAAAATAGTCATTTTATGAAAACCAGAAATGGACCTCTGACCACTTGTAGTGTTTTGTTAAGGGGAGGATTGTGTTTGGGGATGGGGATGTTTTCCGTTTGTTTGTTTGTTTGTTTGTTTGTTTGTTTGTTTGTTTGTTTGGAGGGGTTTAATTTTTGGTTGTCTACAAACCCCTAAAGCAGGCATGGGCAAACTTCAGCCTTCCAGATGTTTTGGACTCCAAACTCCCCCAATTCCTAACAGCTTCAGACCCTTTCCTTTTCCCTCTCATCCGCATAAGTTCTTCAGTACTGGGATTCACTCTGCACATGCTCAGAGACTGTTAGGTCTTTCACTGCTTTTAGCTTCTTCCCAGAAAAAGGAATACTAGAAACAAAAGTGTTCTCAGTATCCTTGACACTAGCATTTGTCCTATTCAAAAGTAGAATAATATTCTATGTTTTGGGTTGGAAAGACTGGGGGAAATGGAGGATATAGGGAAAGCTGGAGCTTCTGATTCTGCGCTTATAAAGTGTTTTTCCAGTCAGCAGGACAATTGATGTCTGTCTACTTCAAAAAGTATTAATTTTGCCCCTCTTTTTGTTCTGCTTGCAGCCCGAAGACATTGGTCAGTCTCCCATGGCCTCCATGCCTGATGGGGACAAAGTGGACTTGGAGGCATTCAGTGAGTTTACGAAGATTATCACCCCAGCCATCACTCGTGTGGTGGATTTTGCCAAAAAACTGCCCATGTTTTCAGAGGTGAGTGGTGGATAGTTGGTATTAGATTGTGAGAAATGAATGGAGAAAGAAGTTTGGATGTGTGTTTTTGATTTGTTGAAGCTTCTTTTGTAGGCAAATAATGGGACGACTGCAACCAGCCATTTACTGTCTCACTTCAGTATAAACATCAGGGCTGATGACCGGCAAGAGATATTTTAGAAGTGTCTCCTCACATCAGTTTTGGCCCTAGGGCTACTTCTTCTGTCTTCATTTACACTTCCTTTCCTCTAGCTATGCCTTTCTAGATATAAGACATCAATAAGAACAACTGCAGCACTCTGGAGTAAGGGTGGTTATTCAAAATATTGGGTTTTAAATAGGTATGTTTTCACTTGGTCTCGTTCCTGAACCTACTCTGTAGGACAGATACAGAAAGTGAAACTGAGTGTGTGGAGGATTGTTACCAGTTTGTCCAACCAGGTTGATTTAATGGTAGATAGATAGACTGCATAAATATTTTTTTATCTGTGTCAAGCTTTTTTTCTTTGCTTTCAATTAATGTGCATGGATTGCCATAGGATTGCTTGTGTCATATTTGTGGGGGTTGGTAAATGAAGCATTACCATAGTTATTAAACCAAGATATACCCTGCAGTATAATAAAGTGTCATTCAGGCTTATGTAACACGTAACCAGGGGCGGCTCAACCCATTACACAAAGTAAGCATTTGCAGTATAGTTGATTTTGCCCAGGGGCTCTCTTGTGGCGCTCTTGGGGGAAAATAGACCTTGACATATGCGAGTTGTAGTTACTGGGATGTATAGTTCACCTACAATCAAAGAGCATTCTGAACTCCACCAATGATAGAATTGAACCAAATATGGCACACAGAACTCCCATGACGAAGAGGGGGGGCCAAAATACTGTTTGCTTACTGTTGAAAATTACGTAGGGCCGCCTCTGCAAGTAACAGTATCTTTACTTCAGTTCAGAAGTTCAAACAGGGCAACACTATATACAGCAGTATCTTTGAATTCACACAGAGAACAGAGAGACTAAAATAGTTCTTTTAAATAGTCTTTAAAATATGCCTCATACCTTAAAATGATCAAGCTTCAAAGAGTTGGCAGCCAGCTTTCTCTTCACTGTCCAAAGTGAAAATGGCAGTTAGAACCGTTAGTCTCAGCAGCAAGGCAGAGACAGCAGCCAATCAGAACTCTTGCCCCTGGCATGCTCAGCCAATCAGCTGACATGTCTTTTCAATTAACCCATTACATCATGGCATCCCTTTTCAAATCCTCACAATATTGTTCCAAATGGAATTTGTTCGCGAAAGAGTTATACAATCTGAAGAGAAAACAGAGTATTGTTCGCTTTCATGTGCCTTTCTGATTGGTTAGGATGATCCCAGCCGTTCTGCTCTTACTTTAAATAACTAGATTTGCTCTTAATGATAGAGGGCACCTCCAGACTGGCCAAAAGCCCTCGGATTTTGTGATAGTTATAGCTGTACTTACTAAGGACTTTTCTCTGATACCTGTTCAGTATTCCTATCTGTTAATTCTCTCATAAATATCTAGGCTGGTATTAACTGCAACTTTTTCTTCACACCGCAGGGTTGTTGTTTATTTTTCTGTCCCAAGGGTTTCGGATTGGAGTCTGTCACACATTTGTATCCAATGTCTAGATTTCTCCTACAATATCATGGGCTGGTCCATGAAGTCACGAAGAGTTTATTTATTTATTTACGACATTTATATGCCACCCTTCTCACTCTGAAGGGGACTCAGAGCGGCTTACAAGATATATATACATACAATATATTATATTATTAGCAGAGTACAATATCAGTATTATATATTACTATATTGTACTATACCATTATATTGAAATATTATTAGTAATATTACATGTAATATAAATATATATATTACTAATATCATATTATTAGTAGTATATTGTATTACATTATAATATTTATAATATTGTATATACAATATATTGTATTACATTATATTATATTTGGTTGAATGAATAAACAACAACACTGTATTTTTAGCAGTCCCACACTAATAAGGTGTTGAATGGGATTGTGAGCGTTGCCACAGATGCTTTCCACTCATGTTCATTCCCTTGTTTATAGATACCTTTACCAGACAAAATTATTCTCATCTCACTGTTCTTTTTAGAATTATAGTGCAAAAGTGGCACTGCCTTACATCGCTTTACTACTTTTGTACTTTGTACAAAAATATATTTTGAAAGAGAATTATAAATAGAAAACAGAAAAATTGTGTGTGGGGGGTATAACATGAGTACTGAGAGAATAGCATACAGGAAGGTGTTGAAGGAATAGCAGGAAACCACACACACTACATACACCCCATCCACACCTGAATAGAACAAAAAGAGTGATTGAAATATGTAGATCAGAGCTCGTGCTACAATCAACAACAAAACAGGACCAAAACATGGCATATTTAGAAGATGACTGGATGTGAGAACCAAAACAACCATTAGAAAGGGGAAACACCTAACACAAAGTTAGTGGTGAAGGTTGTCATTGAAGTAGTCACAGATTAGGTCAACAATACAGTTTGATGGTATTGATGAAAACAGTTTGGAATATCCACATTTATATTTGAATTAAGACAGTCTCATGAGGTCCTGCTCTGAGTCTTTTCCTTAATGTATATGAAGCTGGTCCTCACTTAGGATAAGATTATTTTCCATCTTTCACCTCCTCTCCTTCTCAGGCTTTTTCATATACTTTCCAATTTTATTTTGTGTGTGTATATGTGATTTCAAGTCACCTGTTGACTTATAGCAACACCATGAGCTTCATAATGTTTTCATAAGGAATACCCAAAGGTGGTTACTGTTATCATATTATCTATATTAATTTGAAACTTATTTATCAGGATAGTAAATAAAGAGCAACACTCAAAAAACAAAAATTCCAGACAAGAATAATAATATAATTTATTTTTATACCCCGCCAACTATCTCCCCAAGGGGACTCGGGGCGGCTTACAAGGGACAAGCCCAAAATTTACAAATAAAACACAACATATTAAAAACATCAGATATAAAGATATAAAAAACGTATCAGCAGGGTTAAGAGGCTGGCTATCATGAATACCACTTTAATGAGATTTCACCATGGCACAACAAATTACATTGTTGAATTTGTGGCATACAACCATCCAATATGTGGCTGTGTGCTTAGATGGCCACTTCATTACAGATCCTTTTGATCCATAACGACATGAAATCACAAAAAAATTAAACAATCACAATTGTAAACAACAACAAAATAATATGGCTGAAATAAAGAACATATCTGAGATATTGGCTCATTGAATACAATACATTCTGAAGGGAGCGCAAGAGAAGAATCAATCAGGGCCAGCTAAGATGTCCCAACAAAGGATCCCCCGAGCAACAACCAGCCAGGCTTTGAAGCTGAAAGTCCATTCAGTGCTAATCAAGGTGGCCAATTGCAACATTCACACTTGCCTCAAGCAGACAAGAGTTCTTTCTCCCACCCTGGACATTCCACAGAAACCCCACTTGCCTAGTTTCCAACAGACCTCACAACCTCTGAGGATGCCTGCCATAGATGTGGGCAAAACGTCAGGAGAAAATGCTTCTGGAACATGGCCATACAGCCCGGAAAACTCACAACAACCCAACCTATTTATTGTTTCACATGCAAAGAATTTGGGTTAGTGGTGTTACGACTGTTAACTGCTTTGTTTTCCTGTTGAGCGGAAGGAAAGTTTGGATGCAAATAAATAAGCTAATGTCAAGATCCAGAAGGATTGGCCCAAATGGTAGGGAGCAATGGGGGCGGAGAGTGCATGAACATTATCCTGCAATAACCTACTACTCAGTTATGATCAGTTAGCTGTCCGGGGAATATCAATGACGGTGAGGATTCTGCAAGAGTCAGTCAATACCTTTCTGAAACCAACTACTTAGTGATCCAACTGGAGAAGCCATATCTCATGCAACCAATTGGCTTTTCAGGAGAACTGGACATTTCCCGCATTTCAATTTGCCTTTATGTTTATTCTTTCCTACTTCAACTCTACCCTTGACTTTTATTCACACCCAGCCTCTCTGTTTTAAGGACCTTGGATTCCATCCTTCTCATTCCTTGCGTTCTTTTTAATATGTGGCTGTTGCTCATGGTTTATTCATTTCACACAAGTCTTTATCTTATATTTCAAGCATTATCCCCTGTGCAGAGCTGTACAAGCTTGCTTTTCGGACATCCAGAACACCCAAAAGTAAACATAAACCACAAAAGAAGTATTTCCAAGCCCTGCTCTCCTGGTGAGTCCCTTCATGCTGAGCCTAACTGACTGTGTCTCTCTCTGGATGCAGCTGCCTTGTGAGGACCAGATCATCCTTTTGAAGGGCTGCTGCATGGAGATCATGTCATTGCGGGCGGCTGTGCGCTACGACCCCGAAAGTGAGACTCTGACACTAAGTGGCGAGATGGCTGTCAAGCGGGAGCAGCTGAAGAACGGCGGTTTGGGCGTGGTCTCGGATGCCATCTTTGATCTGGGCAAGTCTCTCTCTGCCTTCAACCTGGATGACACGGAAGTGGCGCTGCTCCAAGTTGTGCTGCTCATGTCCTCAGGTAAGCACAGGGGCTTTAAAAAAATAATTTTGCACTTTTTTTTTGGAAATTGTGAATCTCTATAACCATTTGGGAAATAGGATTTATCTCGGAACAAGAAATAACGAAATGTGGTAGAGACAATAGAGATGGAAAGGAATACTAAAGTATGAGAAATAAGGAGGAAATTATTGCACGAATGGTATCATACACCCTGCCAATTAGCATACTACTTTAAAAAGGGGAGTAGTCAGTGCTGGCATGGATGCCATCAGAAAGGGCGGTTTATGCACATGATGTGGGAATGTGAATATGTACAATATTTTTGGCAGACTATACAAAATGAGTCAAATCAAATACTAGGAAATGAGTGGGCCATAACAAAGGAAATAGCGGTATTAGGGAAAAGAGAGGAAATAAAAGGGAAATAAATGAAGCAATAATAGAAAGTGCACAAGCAGTAATAGTATTAGGGTGGAAAGATAAATCAAAATGGACAGTAAATAAATGGTACCAATATATGGTGGAGCAAATGGAATTTGAAATTATGAATGTGAAATTAAATGATTTAAAAATCAAGGAAAACAGAATGAGAGAAATGGAAGAAAGATGGACAAGGATAAAGAACTACATTATTAATCATTCCAGAGATCAAGTCATAAGAAATAAGATACAAATGTTATATAGCATACAGGATGGAAATGTAGGCTAAAGATAAAGACATAATGATTGTCTCAAAAGAATGAAAATGTAAAAGAAAACAATCCTCGTGTTGGTGGTGGGAATTGTAAATGTTTTGTGTGTGCACGGTATGTGTGGGTTTTTTTGTATTGTTAAAATTTTAAAAAAATAAAAAGGGAAATAGGATTTATAACCTTTTGGAAACAGGAAAGGCATGATCTTGTTAGAGATCAAAACCTTTGCAAAGGCATTGATTACCATTTGGAAAAATCAAGAGACTTCTGAAAAGAGCTAAAAACTCTCTTGAGTCAACCTCCTTATTGGTAAAATATCCACCAGCATTCATGCAAGACAATTAGGTTTCTCAGCTACTGAACTTATATACCTATATATGTCTTTGAACTGCTAGGGATAAAACATGCCAATGCACAAAAAGAATATATATAGCAGAGTTTCAGAAGTGTTCTCTTCAGTGCCCAAAAAAATCTACTCTCCCTTAAAATATATTTTCCTTTAAATCATGCTCTCAAGAAACAAAATTTATTTATTTATTTACTTACTTCATTTATATACCGCTTTTCTCAGCCCTTAGGCGACTCAAAGCGGTTAACAGCAGCAATTTCAATGCACACATTACAAAACCATTGGAACATTTAAAAACAATAGCATAACAACAATTAAACATCAATATGACAAATCATTCGCATCTCGTCAATAGAATCAGAATCCAATCTCATCATCCGTTATTCCGTGTTCCTGTAATCAATTACACTGCCTAATCGAATGCCTGATATAGCTGTTAAATATCTAGTGAGGAGACAAGAGAGAGATTTGAATAGTGAGAATAACCTGCTGCTCTTTCTGCTTAAGAAAAAGGAAGTAGTCCTTCTTACTGGGTTTCTTCTGTCACCACCTCCCAAAGATGTTTATGGGCCATAGTGGTGCCCCTCAGTGCTTTAGCAATTGCCAGGAGAAGAATATATGGGTTGCTGTACACGTCCTTAGAGAGCCTGCTAGAGAAAAATAGCACAGCAGGCAGATAGTAATACTCAGATTAGTTCTGGGGTTTTATTATTTCTGTCATTCTTGACTAATCAAGACCTTTTATACTTCCTGCCATTCACAAAGCTTGCCTACATTTGTGCCTGAGCACACAGACTCTCCCAGGAGTTCCACTCACCTAGCTTTCCAAAGGTGCTGATAGATTTGTTGATTAAGTTGACGACAAATGTAATTTGGAATCGGTTAATTGCAACGGAAGAATAGGTGCTGTGGCTTAAGTCCACGTAACTGCCATCCTTTTTTCTGTCCCACCTCCAGACCGCAGTGGGCTGATCTGCGTCGACAAGATTGAAAAATGCCAAGAGACCTACCTGCTGGCATTTGAACACTACATCAACTATCGCAAACACAACATTCCCCACTTCTGGCCCAAGCTCCTCATGAAGGTGACCGACCTGCGCATGATTGGGGCTTGCCACGCCAGCCGCTTCCTGCACATGAAGGTGGAATGCCCCACGGAGCTCTTTCCCCCACTCTTCCTCGAGGTCTTCGAGGATCAGGAAGTCTAGGGTGTGGGGAGGGAGGGGGCAAACAGGGGTGTGGGAGAATTGGGGACGTGGGGCAATTTGGGACTGGGGCGATGTCTGGACTTGGGCCACAGTGCCCCCACCTCATCACCTCGGACATAACAGATTTTATTTCTTCTTCTTTTTTGTTCTGTTTTGTTGTTTTCATTTTTCTTTTTTGTTTTTGTTTTGTTTTTCTAAATATTGCACGTCAGCATCAGTGAATCACGTGGATGGGGAGGCGGGGCATCGTCGGTAGGGGTTGGGCCACCAAAAAAAAAGGTCGAGACTAAGCAAAACCTTTGTTACAAGGTAGACTTGTGCAGTAGCCAACACTTTTTTTGTCTAGACAGACTTAAAAAAAATTACGTGGGCAATATGATTCCCGCCCATCCCCTGTGTATCTTACTTCCTCGAATCCCCTTTTGTCCCAAAGTGATCTTTGCAGGGTGAAATGTCCATCTTTGATTTTGACGCAATGTTGAAAGGAGGAAACCAATCCGTTATGTTATCCCCCTCCCTCCCCAACAAAGACACCTTTGCTCTTTTCCCCCTTAAGAAAGAACTTCCCCGGCTCCACAGCACTGGAAACCGTTGGCACCTCTCCGCTTTAGCCCTGATCAAACCTCTCTCGTTTAAATGGACTTGATTACCAATATATATAAATATATATATGTTTCTTTTGCACATAACAGTCCCAGGAAACGTCAGAGTGTGTTTGGTTATGTTTTTATTATTTTTTCCTCCTTGTCTTCATTTACTTTTAGAACTTATAGCATTTAGTTACCCTCCCTGAGAGGCTAAAATATAAAAATGCACTTTTTTATAAAAAGAAATAAAGATTTTTTTAAAAAAAAGAAAGAAAGAAGAGGCACCGAGAGAGTTAAGAGAGAGATCTTATTAAATTATTGAGGGGTAGGCAGAGCAGAGGGGAGGAAAGTCACAGGTTGGTTTGGCAAATAGATAAATAAAACTCAAATTGAGGCGTAAGGTCCGAGCGTGAAGGACAAATGCACTTTGAAAAAACAAAGGCTCCCCTCTGCCTGATCCTCCCCTGGTGGAGACACAGGTGATTGAATGAGAGATCTATTTTATTTTGCTTCGAATCGCACTGCAGGGTTTGAATCATAGGGGTGCCAGCTTTTTTATTCCAGTGCTGAGGGGTTTCTTCATCCGCCTCCCTCCTTGCCCCACCCCAAAGCCCCTCCCTTACCCGAGGCTTCAGCCAATCTACCTCCATGTTGGGCAAAGGTGGGTGGGTGGTCCAACACGTCCCCGCCCACTCTTACACTGCCTCCACCCCCAGCTGAAAGGCCGCATGCAACGTCGTTCCCACCGGGCTTTTTAAACGGCTCTCGCTAGTTCTTTGCACACGCTTTCCCACGCCATGGGGCGGTACACTTTTTGCTGCACTAGTACTCTCGAGGCCCTGCCCTCCCTCCTCTGCTCTTCTCTCTGGAGAAGCCATGAGCCAGGATCCCTGGCTCTTCCACGCTCCAGGAGAATCCAGTAAGGGTCGAATCCTTGTTTTGTTTGTTTTGCAAATGGCACTTATCGATATAGAAGACAAGAAACTGCTAATGTTCACAGGGAGGCAGTAGCATCCTTCTCATAACCAAGAGATCTGCAGACTTCCTAACATTAAGAGCTCTTATGGTGACTAGCTCTATGTAACCTAGTTGAGAAAGGTGCCAAGTAAACATCTTTGTTCTACAGCAGTGGTTCCCAACCTAGGGGCCTCCTGATGTTTTGGACTTCAACTACCAGGAACCCCAACCAGCTTATGAGCTCTTAGGAACTGTGGAAGCTGAAGTCCAAAACACCTGGAGGTTCAAAGGTTGGGGCTACTGTTCTACAGCAATGGTTCTCAACCTATGGATCCCCAGGTGTTTTGCCCTACAATTCCCAGAAATCCCAGCCAGTTTAACAACTGTTGAGGTGAAGGTCAAACATCTGGGGACCCACAGTTTGAGGACCACTGTTCTACAGTATCCTGTGCCCTACACTCAAACCAGTTGTTGACACCAGTTGCATTCATGTTCATGGGATGAAATAGCAAAGATCTTTTAGATCAAGCCGGTAGATTTTGTGGCCCTCCAGGTGTTTAGGACTCCAACCCTCAGAAGCCTTAGCCAGTTTGTCCAATGGTCAGGAATTCTGAGATCTGGAAGCCAAAACACTTAGGCAGTAGTTCTCAACCTGGGGTCCCCAGATGTTTTTGGCCTACAACTCCCAGAAATCCCAGCCAGTTTACCAGCTGTTAGGATTTCTGGGAGTTGAAGGCCAAAAACATCTGGGGACCCCAGGTTGAGAACCACTGACTTAGAGGGCCACATGTTGTACAGGTCTGTTTTAGATGTTTCCTCTCTAGCAGCAGGACAGCAATATGTCTGTTGGATCTTCCCTGCCAAATCCAATCCAGTTCTCCCTTTGGGAAGTGCACTGGGTCAAGGAAATGATGTTCTAATGCACTTCCTTTCCCAATGTGGCAACCTTTACCTGTTTTTAGCCTTAGGTTGTACAGCCGAGGTGGGAGTAAATCCAGTTGCAGTTTCAGTTGACCATCCTGTTGGTTAGTCCCACTCAGAGTAGACCCATTGATTCAGTTTCTGAACATAGAGGTATACCCCATTGACTCATTGAGTCTACTCTAAGCAAGACTAATTCAGGCCTCAGCGAGCAATCCCACCTTTGGAAAACATCATCAAGATTTTGTCCAAGCTGGTAAGAGAGAAGCAGCAGCTTTTCATTCTTGATCTCATGGCGACATGCTTTTAATTTTATTTAAGGGATTCTGCATCTCTGTTGCTAGTTGTCTGGGCAGAATCACTGATACTCAGTCCAGTAACTAGTTTCTTGAGAGTGCCGTTTTGAGGAAAGGAAGATTGATGGTTAGCCAGGCCTTCCTCCCATTCCCCAAAATGGTGACCAGAGAGCCATATTGCCACGGCCACCAGGCTTGCCTTTTGACACAGCTCTCTTGCTTCTGGGATGGCCCTGTGGCAAGAGATGTCTAAGGGTCAGATTTGACCCTGGAACGTCTAGTTCCTAATCTAAAGATTTGCCCAGGTAAAGTATTTTTTGGAGATAAGAAAGTTCCGCTTCTCCCTTTCTCCTTCCTGTCCGTTTCACCCTTAATGCAAACCAAACTGTGATCACCTTAATGCAAGTATTTTGGCACTTAGCATTGTTAATGGGTCAGACCTCTCGCTTAAGCCACTTCTTCTGTGATAGATCCATCTCTCTGTCAATCTGTCAGCCAGACTTCTTTTGCAACTGTAATGTAATATTATTCGGGGAGAGGGGTACATTTTTAAGCTCCTCCCTTCCCTTCCTTTTCTTTCTCTTCTTCTCTGTCACTTGGTTTCCGTTGGGGAAAAAAAAACCTTTACCTCTTACCTCATTCAAGACGCCGTGGGAAACGTTACATGATGGGTTTGGGTGCATGTGAGATGTACCATTTGAAGGTTCAGGGGCCGGCGCATGGAGAACACAGCTCCAGTTTAAGCTAATATACAGAAATATATATATAAGTATGTATAATTTTTTTTAATTAAGAAGAAAAAAAATCTTTGTACGGGTCTGTTCACAAAAAAGAAAAAAAAAGAAAAATCACACAAACGAAATTGGGGTTGGAAGAAAACAGTAGTGTTTTTTTTGTTTTGTTTTGTTTTCAATCACCTTTAACAGCATGGGGTTCGTGGGGGGCATTACTGCTAAGCTGGTATTGAGTCTCACATGTCAGCACAACACAGTTAGTTATCTTCAGGGCTGACTATAACCTGTCCACAGTTCCATGGGAGCATAGGATTCGGTGTTGGATACATCTGTTTCATTATTTTAAGGAGAGCACCATTCCGTGAAGACGTGCATGAAACCCTGGTGAAATCTCAAAGCGGGATTTCTAGTGGCTCAGAGTGGAAGACTCCAGCGCAGAAGCAGAATACATTATGCAAAACAAGCACAGATGTGCAGTTTTGCTTAACGGTTCGGCTTTTCTTGATGTGGGATTTAGCTGTTTGCTGGTGTGATTTTAAAGTGCAGAGTATACACGGCCCTAGCTGCATTCCCATCAGCCATCTTCCCAGGGAATTGCAGCTGCTCGCCTTTGAAATTGTTTATCTTGGGGTTATGCAGTTAACAGAATCTTTGCTTGGAAGATTCAAATTAATCTATTGCAATGTGTGTATATGGGAGGGTGGCCTCTGGGGTGGGTTTCCTAAGGGTCAAAACACTTTCTAGTTTCACAGAAAGGAAGGGTCAGTCTTATCTGAACTGCTCCTAAAACCTAATTAATACCCTTGCAATAATTGTTTTAAAAGCATCCAAAGATGAGAGACCCCATGGCCTGGTTGGTTAACCTTCTGCCCTGGCATTTTCTCCTTGTACTTAAGTGATAACACAGATACCCTGTACATATGTGCACACATACACTAAGCCCCTATAGCAGTGGTTCTTAACCTATGGATCACCAGATGTTTTGGCCTTCAACTCCCAAAAATCCTAACAGCTAGTAAACTGGCTGGGATTTCTGGGAGTTGTCGGCCAAAACAGCTGGGGACCCACAGGTTGAGAACCACTTCCCTATAAACAGATGTACAGGTTCCTTTGTACTCATTTGAGCGTTTCCTGAAAAGACACTGAGAAGTAACCAGCTCACAAAATCACTTAACTCTGCTCCTTCTAGTTGCAGCCCTTTGTTTTGTTCTTCCCAGATTTCACCCCTATAGTTTTAACCATTGTCTTCTCATCTCACATGCCATTCATAAGCAAACATTGCAGAGCTATTTTCACACTTTAAACACTTCCCTTCTTGTGTTAACACTAGCACTGTGTAATGAACCAGGAGATATGTATGTGTGTTTGTGTGGGTGTGTGTATGTGCATTCCAGAATCTTATCTAGGCTACATGCTATCAAGTCTCATTTAAATGTTTTTCTGGGTAAATGTGCAAAGGGTGGATCCCTTAGTCCAGTGGTTCTCAACCTGTGGGTCCCCAGGTGTTTTGGCCTAAAACTCCCAGAAATCCCAGCCAGTTTACCAGCTGTTAGGATTTCTGGGAGTTGAAGGCCAAAACATCTGAGGACCCACAGGTTGAGAACCACTACCTTAGTCCTTTATCTCATAAGGATTCAGAGGAAGTCACGGTCTCTTGAGCTTCTGAAAGGCTGATTGGGTGTCTCCATATAAGGCTGCCTCATAGGATCCATCTGAGCCAAACTTTTTCAGGCACCTGAAAATCCAGGTGAACAAAAAACAATGGAGGAGATACTGAAGAGTCTCCATGCTATTTAGACTTCTGTTTTTACTGATCAGATTTTGATCGGAGCAGTAGTCGGTGGAAGGACCACGTTTTTGATTAAAATCACACCCCTTTCTTTTTCATCCTGAGGGGAAAAGACAGAAGATCTTGAATATCATGTTCCCTGAGTTGACAAGAACCTAGACCATCTCTCCTGATCTGTAGACCTTTCATGAAAGAGGATTTTTTCCTCAGTCCTGAAAAGGAGCCGTCAGCTGATTGAAGAGGGTTTCTTAAACAGGATTTTAAAAAAATACACAAACTTGCAAATCTTTTCATGATACTAGAGCCTTTTCCATATTCAATTATCTTTCATCACTGTGTTCTGTCTGCAAGATCCTCCTCCACAGCAGAAATCTAGAAGGCTCTTTCTTCTTCCCCATCCTATTCCTAGTGTGCTTCTAGAGCCTCTCTGCCTGCCAGCTTTATCTTCCCTAAAAACTCCAGCAGATAGATTTAAAGGTCAGGGATCATACTCTTCGTCCAATATAATCCTCCAACAGGAGGGGAAAAAAGAATGGATTGACAAGTGTTAGTTATCTGACCAGTACTGGATCACAACACAAACCATGTTTTCAGCATATGACATTTCTGTCCCTAAGATGGAGCATCAACTCATAACTTACACCAAGCAACCTACTCCTGAATCCATTGCATTATTCCCTCTTTATGCATTTTAATCCTTTTAAAACCGCCTTGTACAAAGTCAAGATTATAGGACCATTTTGTCCAGTATTGTCTTTTTCACCTGTTGTCAGGAGTTCTCCAAAGTTTCAGGTAGGAATCTTTGCTACCTGAGATCCTTCCATTGAAGATGTCTAGAATTGGACCTGGACCTCCTCTACACAAAACTCGTGCTCTCCAACTGCCCTTTCCCCAGTTCAGTTTAATCAGTTTGTGTCGAGGAGGTCCCAGGTCCAACTCTAGACATCTTCAATGGAAGGATGGTCAGTGTGTTCAATCCCAAACACTTAAGAGTGTTCCAACAATTTCCTAGATATCCCACAGAAGGTTCCTCTGAAACCCAAAGCTTCTACCAGAACATTGACTGAATCCCCATCTCCTTTGAAATAAGATCCATTGGCAATTCCTACTTGGATTTCAATTTCAAGAGATTTCAGTGCACCCTAATACAAAGCACAGGGATGAGGTTTTGGGAAAACTCTTGGGTGGATATTCTGGGACTTGTACTCCAAAAACTAAGAACTTTCCCAAAGTTCAGTCAAAACAGTGAAATACTACTGTTGCATTCTTCTAATTGACAGATCATCCTGGATATGAATATCAGTATTCCTCGTGCAGTTAAGAGGATGATGGTTACTCAATATTTACTAACCTACATACAGTACACTGATAAAGTCAATTAGTCTCTCCATACATCCTCACTGCAAAAGTCACAATGATGTTGACCAAAAGACAAAGACATTGAGAAAGTACCCTATTTCCAGATCTCATGTATAGCCACAACTGGATGGCTGCCACATTGACCGGTGGCTTCCTTTTGTGGATCAATTGCTGCCAGCTTGTATTTTAATATTTTCTCATACATCATGATTTTTACTGAAGAAGTTGGCAAGTCATCAAGTAGTCTCCATGCATGTATGAAACACCCTTTGGACTGGAGATGAATGCAGTTGTAAAAGGCGTTGAAGGTGATTTTCCTTGTGATGGTTACATGCACATAGGCACACTCGCTTACCTTAATGCCATGTCTGGTTTAATTTTTTTTGAAACAGCACCAAATCTTGAACCTGAGGTTGAAGTAAATGTGTTTATGCATCACAGCTGCAGTGCTTGATCAACTCAAATCATTTAAAGACAAAAATATTGCCCAATTAATTGGGACAACATTTTTTGAAGGGGAAAAACATTTTAAATATGCCTCCTTATAAAATATGATGACAAGACCCATTATGAATTACTTGTTGTGTGTCTTGAAGAAAGTTCAGAGTTATTGTGACCATAAAATGAACCTATCACAGGGATTTCTTGAGAAAAGGTTTGCTATTGTCTTTAGGGCTGAAAGTGTGACTTGCCTGAGGACAGCAGTGGGTTTCCATGGATTTGCAGAAATTCAAATCCTTCTCTCAAACAGTACACCAGACTGACTCTCTTGAGGTCTTCCCTCTTCTCACACATAGGAAAGAAATATCTGTTTTGAGAACTTGCTGTAGCACATGGAACTAAATTTCTTTCAAAAAGTACAATAGAAAGTGTAAATTTTGTTTTTAAAAAAATCACTTCAGAGTCTTAACAAAGGTAGCATACGCTTCCATAGTTCAAAGTTACGATGTACAGTATTTCCTTCGGAATACCACCTTTGTTGTGTTTACTCCATATATATATGCAATATATGCATCGTGTACATCAAGCGGCATTTTTTGGCATTTCCCATAGTGTTTGGTTGCAGTCTATCCTTGCATTCAATCATGGAAACCCTGTGTGTTGTTGTCTTCAGGAGAAAAATGCCTTTTTCCCATCTTAGTGTCAACATATGAATCATTGGGCTGGGTTGCTGTGAGTTTTCTGGACTATATGGCCATGTTCCAGAAGCATTCTCTCCTGACATTTTGAGAATGCTTCTGGAACATGGCCAAACAGCCTGGAAAACTCACAACAATCCAAGGCCCTTCCACACAGCCATATATCCCAGAATATCAAGGCAGAAAATCCCACAATATCTGCTTTGAACAGGATTATCTAAGTCCACACTCAGATAATTTGGGATTTTCGTTGCCTTGATGTTCTGGGATATAGAACTGTGTGGGAAGGACCCCCTGTGATTCTGGCCATGAAAGCCTTCGACAATGTCATTGGGCTGTTTGGATAGTATAAACACACACCTTTTTTGTCCTCCAGAGAAAATGTAAATTTAATGGATAGTTTAATTGACTAACATTTTCATGGTCAATTACAATTTGTTAGTTGCGTCGCAGCTATAGTGTGTTGTCAGCATCACAAGCAGCAGTAATTCTTTCAAATCACCTCCCGTTCTGTGATAAAGCTATCTGACTGCCTCCAGCTCCTTTTCATCCAAAGGGGAACATGTTCCATACTTGCATTACATTCTGAAGAGGTGCTTTACTGTTGTCGTTTGACAATGTTCCTGTGACTTAAAAAGCAAAACAATTCACTGCATCAAAAGCTCATTTATATTTAGCTTGAGCATATAAGGTTGCCAGGTTAAACACTCTCAATACCTGCTAAAGTTCCCTCTTCTGCACAACCAGTAAAAGTACAAGAACGATCTCCAGTTTCCATTTTGGAAAGCCCCAGAGTGTCAGATTTACTTTTGGTTATGTACACAATA